AGAGGCTTCTGAGAAATCATGTGGAGGCAAATGATCTCCTAATCTTACACTTTAAATTCATGTGTTCCTAAGCCCTTCACTCTTCCTAAATTACCATGTCAGTCCTCGTTCCTCCTCTTCTGTTGAAACTCAGTGGGATTTGTCTTGGTTCTCATTCGTAATAATATTTGCAATACTTTGATTGTTGATCTTTTATTTATGAACGAAAAATGCCTTGTTTCTACTGACTTGTCTCATTACTTTATGCATTTTTATTCATGCCCGGTGTTGCCTAAGTGGCCATGAATTTGCTTGAACTACATTTCTGTCAACTTGATTTACTGTTTTAACCCTTTTTTATGATGTCAAAAGGGGGAAAAATATTTTGGGTATGAAATCAATGATCAATAATGGTATGAGATCAATGATGACATGGTCATGCCAATAGGGGGAAGAAGTGCTACTTGAAGAGGACATGGCCATGTCGATAGGGGGAAGAAGTTGAAAAAGTTTGTGATCATCAAAAAGGGGGGAAATGCTATTTTGTTGTTGATGTGAAGTTTTGATGATTTGACAAAACTTCGGAAAATGATGCAAAAAAGGGGACCAATCCAGTTACCTGAAGAGGCATGCTAATAGGGGGAACTGGTGAAAGGGGGAAGAAGGTGAATAAGTTTGTTATCGTCAAAAAGGGGGAAATGTTACATTGGAGCTGATGTTAAGTTTTGATGATTTAACAAATTTAGGGATCTAACAAGGGACCAGATCCATGAAAGGGTTTTCTCGTATTCGGACTGATGAAAGGAGAAATGAATGAATAAACTCAGCATGAGGAATATTTGTGTGTCTTCATCAAAAAAGGGGAAATGTTATATTCTAGTGTTTTGATGATCCTCACAAATGCAGGGACCCGGTCCTTGGCAAAGTAATTCCATCCAGATTCAAAGTGGTGCACAACTGTAAAGCTATCTTTACAGCTGTCTTGTCAGGTTGGTTGGTGAGATGTGCAGCGTACTTCACCAATAGGAAGGGCGGACGAAGTTGTTTGTTTAAATGGTCAAAACCCTTATTGGTAACTGATATATACAACAATAAACAAACAACAACATTCATTCAAGAAGAGAGAGAGAGAGAGCTATCAAGTCTTTTCAAGAACTCAAGCATCAAAGAACGCAGCAAGGGACTTGGTCCCGAAAAGTCAGCGTACGAGAAAAGGATGAAAAGACAGCTATCAAAAGGCTGCCAACTCTTATGTAGTTGGTGCACAGCCTTTGAGAACAACATGCTCTCAGCCAATGGCCTTGTCCCAAGGGTTTGTGTCCATCTTGATAATAGTCTCTTCTCCAAACACAAAGCCAATATTTGGCAAACAAAAACTTGGATTTTCTCTGAAAATTCATAAGCTTGAAAAGAAGGTCATCTTCAAGGAAGAACATTGCTCAACTCAACAAAGGGACCCGATAGAGTGCTAAAGAGTCTTTGTTGTATTTTGAGCTTTGTTTCTTATGTGCTTACATTGTAAATCTATTCATGTGTTATAAAGGAATTAGATCTTTGTTCTGTTCATCGAAAAGTCTAAGTCGGTTAAGGTTAACTGATTTAGTGGGTAGTGTTGTATCTGCTTAGTCAAATTCTAAGTCATCTAGGAGCTAGCTGATTTAGTGGGCAGTGTTGTATCTGTTTAGTTAAAGTCTTAAGTTATCTAGGGTGGGATGACTTAGTGGGCAGTTTGGTATATGCTTAGGCTTAGTAAGTAATAGGCGTATTACTTAGTGTTGAGATTAAGTATTTAATCTCTTGGTGGTTGTAATCTGTATTTCACTTTTGCTTGAGAAGATTAGTGAAAAAAGTTGAAAATCTTGTGCGACAGGTCGTGGTTTTACTCCCTTGAGCAAGGAGGTTTCCACGTAAAATCAATGTGCCCTATTTGCATTGTGCCATTTATTTTCTCTCATTTTACTTCAGTTACTGTTCTTGCTGAGTCAAGGGACCTGGTCCGTTGACTAATAGTGGACGCATATATTCCAACATAAGCACGTGGTGGTTATTAGCTGATAAAGTGAGATTGTTTTTGATAAATTCACGGCTAGAGATTAAAGCAAGCCAAGATTTCGATACATACCTAAATTTCAAAAGGAATTTCACGGGAACCCTCAAAAGGATTTCAGTGATGAGTTCAGGTGGCAGGATTTCAGTCAAGTTCGAATCTTTCATTAGATTTGATGGAAATTGAGCTCTTTTTCTGCAATTGGAGGCTTTAGAAGCCATTTTTGTTGCAGAAATTTTGAATTGTGAATACCTAATTATACTGATATTATTTTAATTAAGGGAGGTTTTGGTAAGAAGGATGTTTTTGGTAGAGTTATAATTAGTAAAACATTTGAGATTGTTTGTTCATGTACTTTATTTATCGTCATTGTAAAGTATAGCCAAACAGGAAATTATTTACAAATATCAAGGAAAGCTTAATATCAAAAATATTTCTATCACTACAAAAATCCAAATTTAGCAACGCTTATAAGGGAAAAGGCAATCTTAGCAAATCAAAATGAATAGGTAAATGAATTAAACGAGATGTTTATAGATAAATTTTCTCAACTCAAATGATTTATCGCGCGTTTAACAACTATATTCAAAAAAATACAACGGCACAATTTGCTGGCAGTTATGTGTTCGTCTCATGAATTCAACTTTCTCCGCCTGAAAATGAAGGATGTCCTTTTAAATTTATTCGTAAACAATTTCTTGTTTGGCTATACTTTACAATGACGATAAATAAAGTACATGAACAAACAATCCCAAATGTTTTACTAATTATAACTCTACCAAAAACATCATTCTTACCAAAAACCTCCCTTAATTAAAATAATATCAGTATAATTAGGTATTCACAACTCAAAATTTCTGCAACAAAAATGGCTTCTAAAGCCTCCAATCGCAGAAAAAGAGCTCAATTTCCATCAAATCCAATGAAAGATTCGAACTTGACTGAAATCCTGCCACCTGAACTCATCACTGAAATCCTTTTGAGGGTTCCCATGAAATCCCTCTTGAAAATCAAGTCTGTATCGAAATCTTGGCTTGCTTTAATCTCTAGCCGTGAATTTATCAAAAACAATCTCAGTTTATCAGCTAATAACCACCATGTGCTTATTTCATCTAGGACTTGAAAACCCGGGTCTCAATCAGCTGACTCCCGGATTGACCGAATCCATTTGGGCTTGGGTCAATCCGACTGGGTTTTGAAACACTGAGAGATTTTGGGTTGAGAATGGCGGCAGCATCAACATCTGAAGGTGGGAAGATGTCATCCATGGTTAAGTCGATGTCGAGGTCAAGGTCGAGGTCATTCAACGATGGAGGATGTGAATTCATCATCTTACCAGTGAAATTTTCAGGCGATGTATTCAAATTTTACTACAACAGAGAAGAGAGGGCTTTGTGTTGGGGCTAACTGGGGTTTAGGTCTCTTATATATAGTGGGGTTTATCATTTGACTATAATGAGTTGTTTGGTTCAGCCAAAAGGTATCCGGATTCATCTTAATTTTGGTACTAATAACAACAAGTTTGAGGTATAGATTCATCTTAAGATTAACAATAATCTCAAATTTAATCTCATGAAACCAAACAACCCCTGAGAGCATCTTTGGAAAGTAATTGAATTTGACTCTACTTACTTAAGTCTAATACAAAAGCCCTTTCTTCTCTGTTGTAATAAAATATAACATTTGAATACATTGCCAGAAAGTTTCACTGGTATGATGGCGAACTCACATCCTTCATCGAACTCGACCTTGACCTCGATATCAACTTAACCATGGATGACATCTTCCCACTGGCGGATGCGGATACTGATGCTGCCACCATTCTCAACCCAAGATCTTTCAGTGTTTCAAAATCAGGTCAAATAGACCCAAACATGAATGGATTCGGTCAATCTGGGAATCAGCTGATCAAGACCCGGGTTTTCAAGTCCTCACCGGAATTACATCACGATTCCATCGATATGGGTACTACACCCGAGGCAGGTCATAGACCTGGAAATCATAGTTCGAGTGGATCCCCTGTTTTGAAGACAGATGTCTCTGATTTTGTGGTTAATAGTGAAGGAGATGAAAAGAGGAAATTAAAAAGAATGATGATAGAGAAAGTTCTCAGATTTATAGGCAAAAAAAAAAGGATTACGTTGAGGAGTTAGAGGAAAAGAGTGGATTATGGACCCTTCATATGTGCATGCAAGGAAGATGAAAAGTACTCCATTAGCATATGGCTCTAAATAATCATCGCTACAAAAACTTTATTGTGGATAATGACAATGCCGAAGAAGAGCTCTAACATAGTAAGATTTACAAGTTCTACATTTCAAGGATTCTTTCTTAAGCTCCGAGTTTCTAAAGATTATATTGAGAAATTTGGAATGTAAGTTCGAGTCAAGAGGCAAATCCAGGATTTGAAGACTTTGGGTGCACCAAGGTGGATCCTCTAGCTTGTACCAGTAGCACAATGACACTCCAATTCTTTTCATGGGTTCACGGTTAATTATATTCTGATTTCTGTCAGTTTCTCAAGATATATATACATATATATACATGATTTTTTAAAAAGTGAACGGGTACATGTGCACCCCAACTAGAGGGGTGGGTCCGCCTATGAGGTCGACAATTTGGTTCAATACCTAAATTTGGTAACGTCAATTTTGTTTCCATTTTTCTTTGTCTTCGGTTATTGTATTAAAGTGCATAAGTAAAAATATTTTGCTTTTGCTAAGTGAATGCACAACTCCACATTTGGCCTTCAAACAATAAAATACTTCAAGTTGCCGCTCTAACACAATTTTAATACACATAATATTTATGCGATTTTAAAAAACTTATTCATAGATATGGGATACACACGCAACGCGCGTATTAAAAAAACTAGTTATACTTTAAAAAAGGAACATGTATACAAAAAATTAACATGAAAAAGTAACACTAATTATAAATTGCGGATCTAATAACTGAGACCATAGGCTTAACCGAGAAAGATCAGAAGGTACCTCAACTTTAGATCATTAAGGATCCGATCTCTAGATCCGTACCTGTATCGGACACCCACACCGGAGTCCGAGCAACTTAGTTTGTATTTGTCAATTACTCACAACCTCTACTGAAAATGAATCGACTAGATCTATGGAAAGGCTAGACTTACTTGTCTAGGTGGATCCATAACAATCACCACCCATACCTGTATCCATACTTGGACACCCGCACCAGAGTTCGTACCTGGATCCATACACCCAAATCTTTAAATAAAAGTCATTAAGGATCCGACCTCTAAACCTGCATTTGCATTCGACACCCGCACCAGAGTCTGAGCAACTTAGCTTGTGTTTGTCAACTATTCAAGACTTTTATAGAAAATGAATCGGCTAGATCTATGGAAAGGCTAGACTTGCATGTCCAGTTGGATCCATAACAATCACCACCAGTACCTGCATCCGTACTAGAACACCCTCACCAGACTCCGCACCTGAATCCGTATCCCAAATCTTTAAATTTAGATTATTAAGAATCTGACCTCTAGATCTGCATTTGTATCGGACACCTGCATTGAAGTCCGTACTTGTCAATTATTCACAACTTATATTGAAAATGAATCAGCTAGATTTTTGGAAAGGCTAGACTTACCTGTCTTGTTGGATCCATAACAATCACCACCTTATCTTTTATCGACAGGAAAATATATGAAAGTAACCATATATAGCTAGATCTCTTAGAAACTAATAATTAAGAGACTAAACTTTTTTGCAAGAAGAGACTGATGCAATATTCATTGAGGAAAAATGTTATCAAATTGTAAACAAGAAGGAATGATGAATCTTAAACTGAGAGAGTTGGAAAGATAACTCAAGTTTTGAGTGCTCTGTTTCATTCTTTTTCTAAAGAAGCAATGCCATTTTATCATGGGTGTATCTCTATATATATAATAAAAAATTTGCTTGTAAGCGGCCAAGACGCGTTATTTTGAACACCTGGCGACTTTTGATTCATTCTTGTTTTGACTAAGAGTTGCCACATAATTTGAACACATGGCATCATTTTGTTGGCCTTGGATTTGACTGAAATGTCACTTCATTGAATACGTGACATGCGTTAACGTTTGGGCCGTAAATTGAAATGGACGTTGGGTTTGAAAATAATAAAAATGAGATTTAGTTGATTTGTGAAGTCCAAACTAATTATTCAATCCAAATAAGTTCAAGACTTGATCCAAATTTAGTATGGATTAGACCCAATATATTTTTTTATGTGTTTACAACGTTCTCTTGAGATCTTGTCCAAAAAATATCTCATAAATCGTTGAGAGTACTTGTCTAAATATATTTCATTATGTTGTAAATAGTAATAAACGTTATCAATTCATGATATTCCCTTGACATCAATTCATGATATTTATGATATTCACCACCCAAATACCCCATTTTTGAAATGGCTAAGATCATCATCTTCCTATAAACTTGATGCGAGATTGAATATTATTTTATTTATCTTCTAATTCAAGAAGTGGAGCCTTGGAGGAGGTCATCTTGTGGTCGGACCCTCCCTGAAACATGGCATATAGTGCAAACTTTAATGCATCGAACTGTCTTGGTTTATCTTCTAATTCACACCTTTTTCTTATCAATTCTAGGTACGTAGATAAAAAAACTTATTGAATTGTAATTACGTTTATTAGTTTCCTTCTTATAAAAGAGGAAGTATATAAAAATAAAGTAAATCTACTATGTTAATTAGCTATATCGCTTTGACTTTAAAAAAATGTTGTCACACTTGTATCGAATCCTTCAAAAATGTATTTCTTTTGAACATAAATTCTTTTCGCATAATGGTGGAAAAAGCCATGATGTGAACATAACTTAACCCTCGGGGATATCTTTTCACGTACGAATTTACGAAACAAAAAGTCAGAGCTCAGATACACTACATTTCATCATTTAAATCAGATGACTATGAAGACCCAACTTCACAATTTGTGCAATAGTCATCACAGCTCTAAATGCACCAGCCGGGAATCGAACCCGGGTCTGTACCGTGGCAGGGTACTATTCTACCACTAGACCACTGGTGCTACTTGTTTAATGTGAGACCTAAGACATATATTTCTAATAAAATTTCTTTCCTTTTTCCCCTGGTTGATCGTTAAAACTTTTGCAATTAGGAAGATGATGATGTACTTGATCTTCTGGATATACTAAGGACAACATGTACTTGCTTCATCTCTGGATATACTAAGGACAACATGTACTGTCCTTCAAATGTACTAGGGCTAACTGAAATTGTTTCAAAACCTCTCTACTCGAGTTTAGCCGAGAGAAAATTGAAAAATAAAAAATAAAAACTGGCTCCAAAACTTCTTCACAAGCAATATTGTTCAATCAATAACAATTTAAAATAAATACAATGTTCAAGAGAGCGCAAAGCTACAGACACAGAGAAATAAGGATGGTATTGCTCATGGAAAGAAGATACTAAGTAGCTCTTGGAGCAGCCCATTCTACTCTAAGGATGAGATTGTGATAACAATAACCATTGAGCTTGTTTATGGCCCTCTCAGCATCTTCTCTGTTCACAAAGTTGACAAAACCAGATCCTCTGCTCATTCCTGTATTTTGATCAATCGCAACATACACTCGGCTGACATGACCAAAGGGACAGAACAGCTCCAACAAATCAGCCTCACGAGTGTTCTCAGAAAGGTTGGTCACCCTAACAGAGTTTTCATCATTTCTTCTTCTCATCTCAGTTCCCTCACCACTTCCGCTCGCTGAAGCACCACCTCTCATGATCGGAGGAACGTAAGCACTCTTTTGATAACCTGCCCCAGCAGCAGGCGCTTCCCTTGACGTTGGAGGAGCCACTGCTTGTGGTTTCCTCGGAATGGGCTTGATCACTAAATGAGCCGCTTGTGATTCTTGTGGCCTCGCCATATAAGGCGGAGCACCAAACATCCAAGGAGACCTGATTGGGTGATGTAGATTCATCCCAGGGGGTGGTGGTATCTGGGAAGGCACACCAGTGCTGCCCATCTGTGACTTTAAAGTTGCATTCTCCAATGTTAAATGTGATATCATACGATTCAACTCTTGGATTGTTGAATTCATTATCCTCACATTATCCTCTAACTCCTCTACGTAATGTTTTCTCTTGTCCCTATAGAGCTGAGAATTCACCCTACCCCTCTCCAATTTTGATTTCTTCTTTTCATCTTTTTCACTACTAACATTGCTACCGTCAACCACAAAATCAGATTTTTCGTATTTGAATACATTATTTGAATCATCACTCACATTTTTTCTCTTCAAGTCCTCTAATCTAATTTTCTGTTCTACTACTCCACATTCCATTGAATTATTCACAACATTAGGGGAGGAAGTTACCAAATTATTCATGCCGCAAATGCCAGAACCTTGATACTCCGATGAAGGGCAGTTCAAATTTTTTGAATCATTCAAACCCTTGTAGCCATTTACAGACTCCATGGAAGCCTTGTGATTGGATGACTCTGGCGATACATTCAGGTATTCAACATCGGGAGGCGGGAAGACATCATCGATGGATAAGTCAATCTCTGTTTCGACATCATCAAGCATGACTTCGTCTTTGTGTGCAGCAGATTCTACGTTGCTGTCATTATTAATTCCGTTGTCTGGAGGTGGAATTGGGACACCTGAAGAGTCATTTTCCAATGGTTTATGTGAATTCTCCATCAGTTCAGTAAAACTTTCTTGCAACAAATTGAATTATATATTCAAATGAGATGTTGTTACTCACAGAGAAGAGAGGGTTTTGTGTTTGGGCTAGGTGGGGTTTAGATCTGTTATATAGTGGGATTCCTGGGTTTTAAAAGGTGTGAATGTAATATGAAGAGTTGTGACTTTCATGAAAAGTTATGACTTTTATGAAGAGTTGCGACTTTTATGAAAAGTTGCGACTTTCATGAAGAGTTGCGACTTTCATGAAGAGTTGTGACTTTTCTGAAAAGTTGTGACCTTTTCGAAGGATTGTAACTTTTTCAAAGAGTTACGGATCCTGATATATTTTTACAGATAATTTATGTTTATGTTATTAATTTCTATCGTTGAGTACATGCTTTAACCTTTGTTGTTTATGTTTATGCAAAGGTATGTATTTGTTAGTACAAATTAAATAACAGGGATATCTTAATCTCATGAACCAAACAACTTCTATGAGCATCTTTGGAAAGTAATTAAATTTGAGTGTACTGACTTAATTCTAACATAAAAAAAACCTTCTCTTCTCTAGTTAGAGTAGTAAAAACTCATTTGCGTATATTTGGATCTCTAGTTAGAGTACTAAAAACTCATTTGCGTATATTTGGATCTGTTGCCGGAAAGTTTTATTGATCTGATCATGGTGAATTCACATCCGCCATCAGAAGACGACTCTTCCGGTGTTCCAATTCCACCTCTGGCCAACAGAATCAACAATGACGACGACGACGACAACGTGGAATCTGCTGCGCACAAAGACGGAGTCATGCTTGATGACCTCGAAATAAACATTGACTTATCCATCGATGATGTCTTCCCACATTACGATGCTGACCTGAATGTGTCACTGGAGTCATCTAATCACGAGTTTCCCATGGAGTCTGTAAATGACTACAAGGTTCCCTTACCGGAGTCTCAAGGTTCTGGTAATTGTCATGAATAATTTGGTAACTTCCTCTCCTAATGTTGTGGAGTAGTTTAACACAAAATTAGATTAGAGGACTTGAAAATAAAAAAAAGTGAGTGATGATTCAAACGATGTATTCAAATACCAAAAATCTGATTTTGTGGTTGACCGAAGCAATGTTAGAAATGTTAATACTGAAAAAGATGATAAGAGGAAGCAGACCATGCCCAACTTCACACTTTTGCAAACGGATACACATGAAATTTAACTACATCACTTGCATTGCCCTGGAATAACATGAAGGATCATAAAAGCTACCATAAACTAGGTATTTAATGCCTGAACTAGCATACCGGAGTTGTACATTAGCAAGCAAAATGTTGAGCTACCTACCTACCTAGAATATTTTATCCCTACTACTTCAAGTTGCAACAACATGAACACCCACAGTATTCACAACTAGGGATGTACATAGGTCGGTTTGATTTTTGTTTTTTTATTTAAAAAAATCTAAACCAATTATGTCGGTTTATTTAATCTAAAAATAAAATAAAATCACATAAAGTCGGGTTTTCTGTTTCGCCTTTAGTTGGTTCTTTCGGTTTTTTGGGTTTTTTCTATTTTTTACAACTTTACCGTGTTTGAAAAAAAGATCAAATATATTTTCACTTACCTTAAGCTAAACTTTAAAAATGTTAAATGAACAGAAATCTTCGAAATGATGGTAAAATTCATATAAGTACAAAATACTTTTATTGAAATATCTACGTTTATTATGTTAAATTAATAATATTAAAGACTATAGTCAAACTGAATACAAAACAAAATATTTACAAAGTAAATTGTTAACTTCGAATTTGAAAAACTATAACAAAGTAACTGTAACTTCTGATCTTTATACAAAATAAAATATTTACGAAATTTTAAAACCCCAAAATTGAAATAATATATCTAAACATTGAAAACTATAAACTAACTAAAAATATATTAACAGAGTAGATTATAAATAATATTTTTTATCTATAAATTAAATTAAATTATATATATATATATATATATATATATTATGTCAGTTTGATTTGGATTTGGTTTGACTTTTTTTCTTTTAATACCAAACCAAATCAAGAGTGGTCGATTTTTTTTCAACGTCAAACCAACCAAACCAAACCACAAATCATTTTTTTCCAGTTTGATTTGACTTTACGGTTTGACTTGTACACCCCTATTCACAACA